ATGTTAAAATATTAGGTTGTCCCGAAAGTTTTGTCCGTTTTTTCAACCTATCATAAAAATACGTGGAACAAGGATAGGGGAACGCTCTAAGCACTATCCGGCGCATCTTTTCCTTCTCTTTCTAACTGTCAAACTTCCATGCCGATTACTCTTTTGCTCACTGAGATAAACGCCGAAATTTCGAACCTATAGTTTTTATTATGCCCAACTTTGACAATTTTTCACAATTTTCATTTTCAACTTTTGGAAGACCTTTGATAGCCCTCAGATAGGGTAAGCAAAGGGCAATGCAATGCAATCATTTGGCATATCTAGCTGGCTCTTCAATATTTTTAAAGATAATTTTTTCAAAAGTCTTCATTTTTGCGAAGTTCTAAATTACAGAAACGCCTCGAACACTAACAGATCATCGGATTTTGAAGCTTTCAAAAACCGATTATAATTTTTATAGATTTTTACGAAGCAAATGAGCGTTTACCGCTTCGAAATATAAGATTTTGCATTTTACGTGTACACGCTGGGGTGGGGTCAAATTCAAGAATTATGAAAATTTTATCGCCAAAGACCCCGCAAATTGGAGAGAAAATACACTCACTAGAAAGAGAAGGAAAAGCTGCATCGAATAACACCTTAGTCGTGCGCCGTTTCATGATCTCTGGCTTTTAGCATCACCAAAAGTGGAATTTGATAGCATCAGAAAAATAATTCTAAAAAATTTTTAAGGGGCTATAGATACCGCAAAATTGCATTATATTGTCCTTTGTTTGCTCTATCTAACTGTTGCCAAAGCTTTTCCGAAAGTCAAAAATTAAGATTGTGAATAATTGCCAAACTTGGACATAGTAAAAACCAGGGGTTCGAAATTTCGGCGTTTATCTTTAACAAAAGATTAATCGGCATGGAAGCATGACAGTTAGAAAGAGAAGGAAAAGATGCGTCGGACAGTACCTGGAGCGTTTTCCTATCTTCGTTCTACGCGTTTTTATGATAGGTTGAAAAAACGGACAAAACTTTCGGGACAACCTAATAGATCCCCTACCGAAGCGATGACTGAAGTTCGGAGTGAGAAAAGGTCTACCAAGCCTGAAATTTGCTCCGAATGTGGCCCGGATCTTACGGTAGTCGCGGACGCCGCCATATAGCCCACTTGGGAGGCGATTTGTAGACTTCGTAGACCCCTTTCGCGCTGCAAACTTCTGTCTTCGCTCAATTGGGGAGTCTACTATTACATACTACAGAGCCAGGTACCCCCGGTGGGATGCTACCTTCAAGAGGTGCCTTCCCTTCTTTTGAAAATCTCAGCAATGGAAGAGACCAACGTAGCTAATTTATGCAATGATTTTTCATCTGGTGAGTATGAATTTCATGTGTACATACGATACATACGATCACGTAATTTAATAACCTCCCTTTTTGAGAGCTGAAGAAAGCAGATATCTTTCAAACCTGATGAACTGCCCGTTTAATTATTGATTTCTATGCTATTCACTTAGAAAATGAGTCAAACATCACAGCAAACCACATCATACAATCTAGATCGGCAAATTACAATTTTAGCAGCTAGAAGAATGTTCTACAGGGAACTGTTTCGAAAGTAACAACAGTAATGTTTTTCGAGTTTACAAATTTAGCTGGCAGCTGGCATAATGATAGCATCGCGGATTTTTATGCAAATTGCAAAAAACAAATCGTAGAAATAGTATTTCATTATGATTGTTATGGATTTTGCGACATTGTTAGCGCTTACAGTCGCTTTAATCTGAGTGTTAAGCTTAAAGTTTTATGCCGTTGGAATCCAAAGGCTTATCGGCTTTGGATTGGGAACTCTACGATCTCTGCCAAGTTCGTAAACCACATCTCGCTACTCCAAATGAAAATAAGTGGCCATTCAGAGCTAATGGAGAAAATTCAATGTAAGCATGTCATTTTAAAAAATTTCTTGTAAGAATATTACTGTTCAATAGTGAAATTACGATTTCTGGTTTGGTTACGAACAACTCCGTAGAGGACTAGGTGTTGTCGAAGGGAATGGTCTTACAAGGGCATCAGCAGCAGGATGCGCACACACTGCGAATATCGCAGATATCATTCTCTGCGCTTGGGGCAGCCTATGGGCGGCATACAGTCCCCTACCCCAAATAATTCTTGCTGCATTGATACCCTCTCTTGACATGTTTCGATTGATGGAAACCAAGTTTTCCAAGACAACTTTTGAATCTCTGTTTTTGAATTTTCGTTCTGTGCATGAATGTCGCAAACTAAGATGTTTAAGGGAAGATAGCCGGAGTCGAGAGTGACAAACGACTCTTAACGTCCAAAAAAATTGCTGGCGCGAAATCTACGCTTCTTTGATTCCATGTCCTCCCATTTATGTCTAATTATAGCTGACAGTGGTTTCTTGCAAAGCATTCCCTTTGCTCATTTGCTTACGGCTACGACGCAACTTTACGATCATTCTATTGAACTTTGCAATTTTGATCTATGTCGTGTAGAAATTTGCGATGAAAAGTTGCGCTTTTTGCTAGTGGAAATGCACTGACTTGTGCTGCCGAACAGCTGGCATTTACTTCTTTGCTAATTACTGTTACAAAATATTTTGCATTCACCGTTTTCTTTTAATGACAAAGTGTTTTATTTAAGTCTCTGTTAGCAGACATTTTGTAAACAACTTGATTGAAAATTCTGTTGAATTTCAAAAAAAAAGTTGCTGTCTTACAGAATATCTTGGAGGTTGGGCACAACAATTTCATCCGTCGAAATTAGTCGGTCGCGGACAAACGAAATGCGAAACTTTTGTTGCAAGTATGCATCTTGAGCACATTTGAATATTACTGCACCAAACATTACTGTGAAGGAGAAATCACAGGTGAGTAGCTAAAAAATATTTTTATGCGTGTGAAAAACTTCCACTATCATTATGATGGTGAAGTTCCTACTCAGATTACGAGTTTGCCTCAATAATGCCATAGGCAGCATGCGTTCAATCGAATAGCCAGAAAATATACAGTTCTCTACCTAAGCCCGATAAAAGGTAGTTCTGACTTTTACAGTTTTTTTAATCTTTTTGTTTGTGGTTTTCTCTTTTCAATAGATAATCTTTTTCGCATATAAACGCAAAACAACACCTTTACCTTCTACTTTCTAGATAACATTTATGTATAGGTCTACAAATGCCTACGGTTTGGCTAATCATTACGTGCATTATACACATAGCTGTTAGAAACATTCGTTTCACAAAAAATTAGCAATGAAGTTATTATGAAAAAAAATTGTGAGCGGTGTGAGATCTCTTTATGAAAATGGGGATCTTTGTAAAAGACAAAACAGTGATACAATTATATCTAACACAAATAAAACACTTTGCTTGCAATTATGTGACCTAACAATAGCTTAGCTTGCTTACCGTATTCATCATTCAACCACCGAGAAAGTACGACTTTGCACCGAGTACGCGTTAAAATCATGGCTCTGCAAAACTAAATATAGTAAGTTCCAATCCACTCTAGGCGGAAATTAGACTGACGGGAGTAACGATTCGGCCACTTAGCAGTCTGCGTTTCTTCATTTAAATCTATCTCGCTGAGCCAGCGATGGTGCAGGCGCGCTGCTCCACATGGAGTGTCTCGCCTACTCCGGGTTGAAAAAGACTGTAGAGAGAATTTTGATATGGTAAGTTGCTTAAACCCCTATGATGAAGAAAGCATGTCCGAGCGCGCGCATGCTGCATCTCCCAATAAAGCTGCGCGCGCACAAACCATTCTTTTATGCGTTTGAACGAGCTTGCTAGGCTGTCACTGTAGAAGGTGGCATGCCGCAATACCATAAGCATAAGCTTCCCGCAACGGCTCTGCGTCCCCACCTTTATCTGGAACTATTACACTAGTCCAAATTTGAAACGAAGGGTTTAGGAAAATGCAGGTTTACGCCATTTTCGCGTCTTATGAAGTGGTTTTTTGGGAAAAGCTCGTTGTTTATCTTGGGTGATTAAAAATTCTACAAACGGTATTACGCAACTTTTCACAACGTCGTCGCAGATGCCTAAAGGAAAAAACAGCAGCCAATTAGACAATATGATAAAGTTTTAGAATAAGCGGGTAGCCAAAGAGGGCCAGGTAGATGTAAATTTTTAAACAGATAATTCTCCTTTACTTTAATCTCACCTCTCCCCATCTTGTGCTTTCTTTTCTCGTGTCATTGCCTCTTTTTGCGTTGTTCATAATCCTCTGTCTTTCGCCACACTTGATAGAAAAAGACTTGCTTTTTACCTACTGCTTCTTAAAAGCACAATCCGATTTAGATGCGTAGAATTTGAGTGAGACTAATAGTATTTACATTGCAGAATTTGAGTGAGACTAATAGTATTTACATTGCATTCACCATAATGACAAGATTCAGTGATTTATCGGGGTGAGCCAGAATATTTCAATAATGTTTCCTCAAAGGAGTCCTAATTTTGTACTCTCAACTCTGGAAAAATCATTAGCAGAAATGTTGTTGGTCCCACACTATTTTACAAGGACAAAATGCAACGTCATTCCGATTGAACAGCATGTGCTAAGTGGGCCTTCTCAAAAAGCAAATTCTTGGCATTCAAGCCACTGATCGGCTTGTTTTGATTGCGCGTGAAGGGACAAGAAATACCGCGATAACGTACATTGATTTCATTGCGTTTGTCAGTAAAAGTGCGACGCAGTTAAGAAGGTAGTTTCAAAAATCGTGCTTCTTTCGAAGGCATATGTTTGAGACAAACACGAGCCATCGTTTTATTCCATTATGAATTAAATTAAAAAACAGCGCAAATAATTCCCGAGGAAAAAAACCATGAATGGGACCCTTTTTTTGCCAAAGTCAGAATTGTCCGCTCATATTCCAAACCATCTGCACAACCTCGCTTTGCGCCTGCGCGCCTTATCTAAACTTGACACGTTTCAGTAATTTTGTTATGAGCATATATGCAAGATTCCTAGATAAAGCAATGGCAACTGATAACGCATTTTAGTGTGGGAGCTCACGTCGACAGACTACAATGACTCGTAAGCGCTTTCGTCTTATTATAGCTTTGTACTTTGTTTATCTTAGCATATGTATATTTTGTGTGGAAGGTATCTTCAGTGTGGATATAAAGGAGCGTTTGATACAAGGTGTCAGTTTTGCAGGCTATCGTCATTGAAAGCAATTGGTATCAGAAAAAGAGCTATCAAACCATTTTCCTATTTCAGACGATTTTCCTTCTGGACGTAGTCGTTTTGGCGATGTAAACGCATTCTATCCTGCAGAAAAAGCAGAATTCCAGGTAATTAAGCTTAAACATGTAGTCCGATCCTATAGAATTTGTGACTTTATATTGTAGTAGCGAACCGCTTTACAGTTCAACAAAAGAAGTTGCTGATATTTCTTGAATTTCGGTTAGCGTTTTGAACTTGCTACCGTTCAAGTCCCGCCCATACGAAGTAGAAAATACGTGATGGCATGCCCGTTCTTCGCTACTCGAAAAGAATTACGCAGCAATCACTGTCTTACGTTTCATATTACCGTCAAATCCCAAAATTACAATCAGTCTTGTGCATCTGCAGCGTCCATGAACAGGGTGTGCCAAAAATGTGCACACTGCTTGATCGCTAATAAGCCCCTCTTGCTTCAACGTTTTTTGCCGACATATTGTGTGCGCTTCGGCTTCAACCGAGATATTTACTATGATTCTAATATTATGGTGGGAGATTTCGAACATATATGCTTTTTCAGGAAGAAATCGAACAAGTCGAAAACCTGCACACTAGGCTAATCAGAGTTGCTGATTTTACATAAAAATTTGTAATCAATCGTAATCCTCTTCTTTTAGTTATGCCGGTATACCGTGACGACTACTCACTTTATCCTAAAAATATGACAAAACATTATAGCTCAATAGTTTGTGTATCGGTGGAATCAGTACTATCAGTATTAAGAATATACTGCCCCACAACTTTTCTTTCTTCCAAAATTTTCACAAACGGCATACCACAGTAGCTGTGTATGTTGAAGGTTCCTATCGAATTTAAAGTAAAATGAAAAGCGGTATCGATGTTCCATGTTTTAAATCTTTCCTATCGAATTTAAAGTAAAATGAAAAGCGGTATTGATGTTCCATGTTTTGAATCTAAGTGGGAGAAAGCTCTTTAGAGTGGTACTCCAACAGCGAAAAAGAAGAGAGCAAGATGATCACCATATAACCTTATCCAACTGTTATGCCAAGTTCGCTAAGTTGTTGAGTATTTGGTCACCTAATTTTCTGTTTTTCGAGAAACAACATATCCCACATGTTCAATTCGGCTGATGCATTGGCTAGCATAAGACACAAATTTTTCTTTTTAGGACCTAAGCGGTAGAAGATAAGCAATTTTTGCAAGTGCTTTCCGTGAGGTCACAGCAATTTATAGATTACTCGATCAATCGTTATGACAGTTTTACACCTACAATAATGCCTATTCGTTTCTTTGCTTAATATCCTCTAAAAGATTCGACTAACTAAACATGCAACAACTTTGTTTGGCAAGAAAAGCTTATTGAAAGAAAAGCATTCTATCAATTAACGGAAAAACTTGTAAATAAAATCAAATCATCCGATTGGTATTTTGGAATTCAATTGTTTTTATATTCAATAAAAGGCTTCACAAAGTTTTTTCAAACTTTTTTGCCAAACTTTCACACCAAAACATTACAAACGACCTGGCTATAACTGAACAATTTGCCTCTTCAAGATGAGCACTTTGATTTTTGTTTGCTGTATGATGTCAAGAGAGGAGTAAGTGGTTAGCTTTCAGGAGCTCAACGGTCGCTTGGAACAATACATTTTCTTGGTAAAAGGTCTCGAACGTGAGAACGCACAACTAGTAAATGAACTTCGTAACCTTCATGAAACTTGGGGCCAGCGGAATAACGAATACAAGGTAAACGCTTTTTCTTTAAAGTTTGGTAAAGACAGCTGAACAAATGTGGTCCACGCATTAGTAGGATCTATTTATCGATACAAATGTTTTTGTTCAATAGTACCACTGTTACATAGTAGTGATCTTCTTCAAATGATCTCACTTACCGGTCATGGTATAACAAAAACTTGGTTGTCTGCCCGCCATACTATCACACCTTGATGATAATTTGGTATGTTGGCTGTCAAATGCAAAAAAGGGAAGAACTTTGTAACATTCGACAGAGTAATATTTTAGCACATATGGTGCAAGTAGACAAGTTTCTCTGAGCTTAATTGTTCTTCCTGATGTAACTTGGAAAAGCATGCGCTTTGTGGCACAAGAGAGCCAGAAATGTTCTTTATTGAATTGTGTGGTTAACAAAAACCATGATGATTGCGAACTTTCACTGACATTCAGGTCTGGAGCAAATAAAGCCTTACTTAATGTGCGTGTGATAAGAGTGCGCTAACGTAAGTTGCAACCGAGATAAGGCGTTTAGACATGGTTAGAGATAAGAAAGTAACACATATCCACCTTAGAAGGAAAGCGAGTCATATTGTTAGGCTTCGCGTTATTCATACCATTTTTCATGTCAGTTTATATTAGGTTGGTGCAAAAGTAGTGAGCGTTTTCAGGCCTCGTTTTAGGACAACTTCTCTCCATCAAACTTTGCCGCTTACAAAAAGTCTAGCACATCACTGGAAAGCTTTTTTTATGCTCTACCTAATAATGGTCAAAGTAGGGTTCCAGCCTTAATTGGTAAAAATTTACAGCGCTGCACATAAGTGCACTCAAAATCAAAATTTCATGGAATTTACTTTTCTGGTCAGAATTCATGCGCGAATGGTTTTACGTTCAGCATACATTAGCTGAATTTTCAAATGAAGGCATTTGTTTGAAAATTTCGGTTCTGTAGGTATGGGGTCCTTTGGTTGCAAAGTCCTTCAGCGTGTTTAAGCTGGTCGATGGAAATTTTTCCGCGCCTTGTACGCGTGAAATTAGGGTAATTTATTTTTTGAGATTACCTAAGATGAGATATCGACACCTCAACATGGGACATAGTGGCACTTATTCTGTGGCCCACGGTTTTTCATTGAAGAAAGCAGTCGCAACACTTTAATCACTCCTGTAACCGTAGGGGGTACGGTCTCTTGTTGATAGTTTTTTGCGAAAAAGTTTAGCTGTTCAGTACGCAGAAAATTAAAGATCTCCATAAATTGGGGACTATGAAGCCTATGGAAACGTTGAGGAAAGGTGACAATTTTAATTTTTTATTTTTTTCCTTCTCGCAAATCTTCTTTGTCCTAGTCCTTTGTTGGCTGCGGCTAGATGGGCCACTTATCACAAAACACTTTGAAGGACGTTACGATTTGTCCAAAATGAGGTTTCAAAAAAAAACTTTTTTTGCTTTTCAATGCATATTTCTCTGTTCGGTTGTGCCCACTCCGGGGGTTTTCTTTTGTGCTGGATCTAGACACAACCTCTACCTCTACTGTTTTTGCCAGCATTCCAGCGTTACTGTAGGTGTACTGTAGATGAAATTGTGCGTGATTTTATCTAATAAATGTTGACTGGCCCGTGAAACGCCTTGGTTGTCGCGGCTCGCGATGCAAGCCACTCCTCGAAACAGGAGGCCGGGAGCGCTGGCTATCGCGTTGCTTGGCGCGCTACTCATTTCGCGCCAAGACCTCTCCTGCTGGGCGCGTTGCCAAGTCACAGGGTATATAAGGGCGCGCAGGCCGCGGTCTACGCCTCTTCGAGTTTCGTTCGTATCGATCGTTTTATGATACCGCTCGTGCTGGCAGCGCCTCCAGCAGCTCCCGCAGATGATCATCAGTTTCGAGCGGTTGAGCCTTTGTCATCTTCATGGTTTTGGAGACGCGCAGCTTGTATTGTGGTTTGTCGCGCAAAAGGAACGATCGCGGCAGTGGAGAGGGGTCACACCTTTCCGGAAGGGTCCTCTTTTTAGTAGTAGTAGTTTTAGTAGTCTAGTAGTTTTGAGCTGTTTTAGTAGTAGTTATTTTGTGTATTTGAAGATAAATGTAATTTGAACTAGTCGTGCTTGTGATTCCTGTGTTGTACGGGTTTGGGATGTTGGCGTCGAGCGGACGCGCTAGAGTGCGCGCACTAGCGCCGAAGCAGTATGTCCTGGAGTAGGGATTGTGTCGTCAGGCGGACGAGCACTAGGGCGAGGGGTGCTGAGCACACCGAGCCGCAACATTGGTCGTCAATGTTAATGTGTGCTGTACGCAAAAGGTTGTCTTTCTATCCGTTTCCCTCTTGATGGAAAAAGCTGAAAATGTGAAGCTGTACCGAAGAATGAACGTTGCTCCGCTTCACGCATGTGCGGAAAATATGTCTTTATACCCATCTTTTTCTCTCTTATTTAATTTCGCTCAAACTCTATCTTGTGGGTCGTGGGTGAACAAATGGGTCTGTACGACAAAAATGGAAGAAGAACGAGGGAGAAACAGGCCCATTTTCTACGAGTATGGAGCTAAAAATCATTCATTCTTTAATTTCCCCTCAAGTTCGAGACTTACCTCATTATAGGGAGAAGCGGTGTGGAAGAATTGAAAATGAGTAAAGTTCAAAAAACAAAAGCTTACTTCCAAAGATTTTTGTTTCCTTCCGCTCAAAACCGCATGCGAACGGCTGCAGCGCACAGTTCATAATTCCAGCACAGTGCGAGAACTGTGGTGGAACTGTTTCGAAACTGCGAGATCAGTGTGGATCCAGCCTAAAAGAAAAAAACAATAGAATATGAAAGTTGTCTCCGAATAGTATAGCGAATTTACACATGATCAACTCGGTGACGCGGATTTAGGCACTTCACAAGTTTTTGTTTTTCAACCACATATTAATGTGCTAATATCGCCGAATAGCAGCAAATAGGTTATAAGCGCACTCGGCACAGCAGTGCTTCTTTTAATAATTGTCTAAGTGTTGTGAATAGCCGGCTTTGAATGGTAAGCAGACATAAAATGATTCATTCCAAAATGACCGTTTCCCCATTCGGAAGTTGCAAAGGATTACAGAAATCAGCAAGTGATGTGATTTTCGCAGCACTTAGAAGCTAGGAATTTGGTGGAAGAAGGTGAATTTAGCGCGACATCATGATAGAAAAATGAAGCTTTTGCGTTTGTAAAGTGCAAAACCTCTTTTTTGCTGTGCGTAGCAATTTTTCAAATGCGTGTTGGTGAGCTATGATGAGGAAAAAGATCAAAAGATATTTGGATTGATACAATATCATTCATCGCCCGAAAGATTTCGCGAGCGATTATAAAAGTTAACAATTTCTCATAAATCGAAACTCACTTATTCCAGTCTTCTTTCTCCAAAGATCTGCTGGCGCACAGAGATGAATCTTTGCTGGCTTTGAAAAATAATGCAGAGCAAGCAATTCGGGCTAGAAGGATACATGCCAACATCGACCTCACTAGACGCAGGTACGCTACTAAAAGGGTCTCTTCCATTAACATACCCTGATTTCACGAGTATAAGACGCACTTATTTTTCAAATTCAGAAAATCTTGCGATTCAAGAACCCCCTGTCATGCTATTTCTTACCTAGGCTTGTGTGGGAGAGCGATGATTTCACGAGGCACAGTGGTGCGCCCAGCTGCTTTTTGAAAAAAAGAAAAAGGTTTCGTCTTGTGCTTGTGAAATTAGGACAATAAAATCCTCGAAAACTTACTCTAATCTTCACGACTTTATTGGCTGTTTGAAAAGAGCAGTTTCCTTTGGGTTTCTCTAAGGAGTTCGAAGTTGAAGCTTGAAGTAGTATAAAGGTGATATGAGATGGTAGTCGGTGCGGCAGTAAGGCAAGAGCTCAAAGCAGATAACGAATGAGACAGCTAACCACACTCGTTACTTTTATAATGCGTTGAAAAAAATTTTTTTAATTTTTGAACTTTACCTTAATATAAAAGTAGAGTGTGGGGAAGAGTTTTGAAAAGACAATGTGTTTAACATCTCCTGTTTGATGCTTTGGTCTTCTGCGACTAACAACCTCAACAAAATTATAGAGGCTATCTCAATAATTTGTCTATCAGCCCAAACCTACTAACGCTCTATTTTTTAGTCGCTACTGTAATGTTTGCCTTTTATGAATACATGACTATAAACATTGATTGATTGATGAATAGTTTGCATTTAAGAATTAGTCTGGTTACATATTCGAAAAATTATTTGCAGAATTGAAAATGTTCAATTGGCAGAGCAAGGTGATCGAGCGAGATGTTCAGAGCTTCGGGCGTTGATCTCCAAAGCAGAAGCAGATTTGGAGATTCAGAGAAGAGAGCAAGTTTTTTATATAATTGTTTGTGATTCACAATTTCAACTTCGTTTTCAATTTGAATTCATGTCTCATTGCATCTACTGTACAGAGGCAGTCGATTGATGAACGAGCGGTCTCAGCTTACGGCTCAAAATGAGACTCTTTATGAAGATTATGGAAAACTATGGGATGTGAGTCAGCAAAAGTTTTCTTACTATCATGTTTTTTTGCATTGAAGGAAATTGATCGCATTCGCCTTGAACTAGCTGAATATCAAGCGAGGGAACAACGGCTCATTGCTGAAAAAGAATTCTTGCTCAAGTACGTATTTAGAATAGTTAGCTTGTCTGATAACACGCTCCGCATTCCAGTGGAGTGATACTGAAAAATTTAGGGTACAGGAGCGAGAAGTTTACGAAGTTAATAATCTCCTTGCTGAATCTTCCTTTGACGCTAGGAAATTCTTTGAAAATGATATCGCCCTTGCCATCAGGTATCAAATAAACCTTTCCAGTGTTCCGCATAAAATTAGTTTCAGAGATATAAAAGTCGAGTACGAGGCATCGCAAAACATGATACGGAGCAACGTTACTACTCATTACAACAAAAAGGTTTTTCTGCAGCAGTCTTTGTAAGCAAAGCGATATTGGAGTGCTTTAGTTGGACGAAATACGTAAAATGGCAGAGAAAACTTCCGACGAATCTAAGTTCCGCAAAGAGCAGATTGCCAAGATGGAAAATATGATTGATGAACTTAGAAAGAAGTTCCGACCACTTGAGGATAGAAATCATATGCTGGAAAATGAATACAGGCAGTTACAAAATTCGGTAAGCTCACAGTACTTTCAGATTGTTAATTCTCATACTTCATATACTAATTCTAGATAAGAAATGATGAAGATAGGTACAGAGCTGAGATACAGCATCGTAACGATGAATACAGAAACGCTATCGTGATGTACCAGCGACTCGTAAGTGAAGATTTCCGTAGCCGCTTTTTTAAGCAAATCTTTCTGACAATAGAAGGATACCCAATCGCGCTGACGTTTAGCGAGGTAAATGCTTCATCAAGGCCAGGACAGTAATAACATATCTGCTTTCCGCATCCGCGAAAGGAATCTGTGGAAAAAGTTAAGAAACCCTGAGTTCACAGGTATCTCCCTCCCTACTGTCGAGTTTAATACAAGTAATGATGCATTATTGATAGAAGCGATGATAGTAAAGTTAAAAGAGCAGATGACTTTCAGCTACAATGTACCGGGTCAAATTCCGTAAGTACCCATCGTTTTGCCTTTTTTACGTCCGTACATTATTCAAAGCCATCTTGAATAGCGGATGTCAGTAGCTTCCGTTATGTTCGCGTTTCAAATTACATTCCTGCTGCACTCGCGATGCACAGTTACTCGTACTCACCTGCAAAAATGCCAAAACTTGTGGAATCAGGGGTCCACAACTTTCTCCATAAACGTTTCGCAGATTTGGGAAGGGAATATGTTATCAGTGTTTTGAAGAGGCTATAATGATGCACACTTCCTTGCCGGACGTCGGTGCGGCTCAGTATTCTTTGCTCGTAAAAACATTGTTATTAATGTTTGATACCAATAGTACGACATATTCAAATGTTATTCATTTGATTCCTCACATTCAAGTACGCAATTAATAATTCTTTCCAAAAGCTATTAGCTTCAATGTTATATAGTAGCTAAAACTTGGGAGGACTAGTATCTTGCGTCTGATACCTTGTTTGCAGCGACCATAACATCTATTCCGTGTTGCTTTATTGTCTTCCGCTTTTCAAACTTCCGCCATCGTTACTGCGCCAATTTGACACCATTTTGAATATGGCAACAAAACACGAAAAAGTACTCCCTGAGTGTGCGGATCTAGCCAAAATCTCGGCATGCTCGCAGCATATACTCTTCGTCCACTCGACTTACAAGTAGATGACATCGAGCCGTATTGACGTTCAGCAAGGAGATGTACATTTTTAAACCACTGATAATCCACTTTCCAAATCTGTGAAATGGTTTTGTGGAAGAAGCTACGGACCCCTAGTTTTACATTTTCTCCCCGTCTGCGGTTAAATACGTTTGATGAAGTACCATCACTGCGGTCAAAATATGTCTTCTAATTGCACCATCAGCCTTTGTATGCATAAGCATCATGAGTTGTATTCGATTCAACTGTAAACAGAGTAAAATCTGTACATCAAAAGGTCAGCAACTTCTTTCGTAGGACCGTATAGAGAGCAGATACGTTATTTGCGAAGGGATTTTATTGATGTACATTCTTTTGCTAAACGCCAGTTCGAATCGCTATCCTTCCCTTGTTACCCTAATCCCACGAGTACAGGACGCACCTGCTTTTTTCTAAATTCGATCAACCTGAACACACCAATACATTTCCGGCCAAACCCCTTGCAGTGGTGCATCTTGTCTTATCTTGTAGCATAAGTTTGTTTCCCGAAACAGAACGAGGCGGCCGAGCAGCTCGTTCAAAAAATTGAAAAAGGTGCGTTGTGCTTGTAAAATGAGGGTAGGTTGAGGAAACATTAGTATTGTTTAGTGAATCAATAGACCTTTTTCTTGGATTTGCTGACTTTTGAAGGGAATTGAAAAATGTTAACGTCCCTCACTCATAGTAGCCGAGAATAGGTACGTAGCAACAGATGAAACTTGTCGATAATTTTAGGAGAGCATTGTGGGCGAAATATGTAATCTTCGGTATGCAGTCTCCACTCAAGCATTCGTGGTCAAGTCCCGCAAGAATCTTGCAGACATGAAATATGGGACTAAAAAAAATAGTCTTGCGCGAGAACCCAGAACGGACTTGACCACGAATGTCTGAGCACCTCATCCCAAGGGTGCGGGAACTTACCTACCCGAAAGACTTGCCGCAGCATACCCTAGGTGTCATGAGCAGTCAGATACGCAATTAGCATAATGTACAGAGCCTAGTCTGTGCGTATTCTAAGCCCCGCCCCCATCCATCGACTCTTCCGCGATGCATCCATCAATCATAAAACCGGTAATTCAACAGGATCACAAAATTAATGTTCAGCAACTATCTGCTCAATTTCGATCAAAATATGGATTTAGGGGTTTTCTGAGGCGCTTTTTTCAAATATGCTATTGGTTTGCGTTGTCTTTTTTTTACAGAGCCGAAATATCGCTTTAGTAAATCGACTTTTTAAAAAATCTCGAAAAAAATAAAGCATGCCTTAAGACCCGTGTAAAACTGCTTGTTCACTGTTTCATTCGGAACGTTAGAAGAATAACCCATTTTTTTAGTGAGAACAGCATGCCCTGAGGATGTAACCTCAATGATAAAAGACTATGAAGGTCGGCTAGTCTATAAACAATTGTGTACGCTCCATTTTGAGCCTCGCAGCTCTCTTTTAGCACATTCTGGCCCTAAACCAACCTTGACGTCCTCAGGTATGCCAGGTTTTCTGGCATGTCTTGGTTCTATGCCAAAAAGGTGGAATGTGTGGGCGGAGTTTAGCTTAGCGCTGTATCCTAAGGAGCATCCGGAATCAGCGAGCTCGCTATACCTAATTATACCCCGCAGACACACACCCATGAGGTGCGAGAATATCTCGGGTAGGTAAGTTCCGTTTCCCATCCTAACCTTACCATAGCGTTGGCACACTTTTGCACCTTAAAACTTGGCTTTTCCCCCGTAAAGTTCTGTGATGAGGCAGATGTATGGTTTGTATGATGATAAATACAAAAGTTAGATAGAAATATTTTTATCAATTGAGAGAGAAAGACGGTAGATTTAAGGTTAGCTTGGCCATTCCTAACCAACCTTTTCATGAGTTCACATACATTTGTGTTCTCTGAATTGAGCAGTCATTTTATAGCTCATGGAGCAAGGATCAATGTCTGAGGTGACCTTACTGGAGCTAGAAATATACAGGAAAATGATCGATTGTGAAGAAAAGAGGTAGATTGAAGACTATTTGCAAAATCCAAAAAGAACAAGCTTCAGGTTAAAAGGGCGGGACTATGTAAAAGTGGAAGGATATACGAAGACGGACGATTATCGAGTTACCGAGCCATATTCTCATGCTAATACGAAGACGGACGATTATCGAGTTACCGAGCTATATTCTCATGCTACCAAGCATCGAAATTACAGCGTAAGATTTGCGGATAAAACTGATTTTGAATGTATAAACTTTATATCAGGGTGACATACGCATCAGAGATTGTGACGAGCATGGTGGATTCATAATTGTTGAAAACGCCGGATTAAACGATGTGAGTACAGAAGCTTGAAGTTAAAAAATTAATTTTTCAATTTTAGCAACGTCTGGGAGGATTTCGCCTTAGTAGGGTTATAAATGGTAGAGAACGATCATTTATATTCCCAGCTCGCTTCGTGCTAAGCGCTGGAGAAACTGTTCAGGTTGGTGATAAAAATCATAAATGTTTGTGTCCGCTAAAACTACTTCCTTAAGGTGTCCGCCCAAGGTTACGTTCCGGATAGAATTGAGTGCACATATCATCTCATTTACGACCGCGATACAACGTGGGGCACAAACGGAACATTCGTAACTCACCTCTACAACACGCAAGGCACGGAAGTCGCTAACTTTGAAGTGCAAACCAAATAACGAAAAACAATTTGACAGCTGTTTGACTTGCTTGAAGATATCTATTGTTACCCAATTTAATCGACTCCACTTTGGTCAACTTACAAGAGAAGCTACCTAATTAGCTCGGCCTCTTGGCAATTGGCACACATAATCTGAATCAGCTTTAAACGCTGACAAATATGCTATCCCTAGCTGTCGCGCAGCATTCCAAAGCGAATTATGGACTTTTTTTCTGCACAGGATTGGCATACAACGATAATTGGCATCACGGCATCATCGCCTAAGTGCTAATACACTTGCGTCAAGCTTCTAGTGAGAAGAAATTGGATTTGTGTTTCGATATTTCAGCACCATTTTCTTGCAGATTTTTATCTACAAGCTGTCTTCCCATGTTCAGTAGTATGCCAAATTTGCGCAGAAAAAAGCCCGTAACTTGCTTCGAAGTGGTACTCGACAACTAGAACTAGCATTTTTGAAATCAGCGCGTGAAGCTGATTTTGAACATATGTATATGTCACTTGCCAAAAGGTGAGCTAAGATAGAGCATTTCTTATTAGTTGCCCGACAAGCAGTGTATCACGTGCCTCACTTTCCAATTAGTGTTGCATAGTATCTAGCGCGAAAGTGTACACAGTTGCGCTGTCATGGACGTAGTTGTCTAGTCGAATGCTACCAAATTTCGAATATCTCTCAAAATGGAAACTGCCTTCAAAATTTCTGCCAATAAATTTATGTTGACCAGCGTCGGAGTCATGCCCGATCGCATCCAAGCGTACTCAGAAAACACCGTTTAGGCAAAAATTACAAATAAGCTGTGAAGTGCATGTTGATAACAGGATCCTACACCTTCACCTTCCAGCACTTCGCTCTTCTCTAAAGGCGCATAAACCCATGGGGCGTACGCGTACATTTCATATTTCTACGCACGCGTACGTCGCTTACGGAGCGTACCCCGCGCAGTCTGGCCAGACATTTGATAAATTACAAAACCCATGCAGTGTGTGCCCAAGTAGCTCCTTTAGGTACCTCCGCGGCGCACAAGCAGCGCGCTCCTTTATGCCCTCATGTGCTTATAAGTATTAGGTTGTTACATAAGTCTTGTTACACTCAACTTCTAACGGCGATAAGTCATGCATCTCATATTCTTGAGAGAGAAGAGCTCGAAAAATCAATCTGATGTTGAGTCAGCATCCTAGCATTTTTTTCGAGCAGATTCTTATCTACTCGCCGCCGACATTCATAAGTTTGTTAGTTACTCACAAGAGCAAGTCTATAACTCTCCTTGGAACAACGCTAGGCAGCTGGGAACAACATATTTGGAATCAGCGTTCAAAGCTGAGTCCAAATGTATGTGTTCCATCTCAAAAGGCGAATCTAAGTTGGTATCCTATCCTTGTAAGAGCTTGTAGTATACAGCTACATGAATAGAACAACATAGCTTCGTTTATGTAAAAACTAAAAAAATTTCTTTTTCTCAATTTTTAGATGAAAAAAAATACAGCAAGGATACATATGAGTGTCTGATATAGTGGGCAATCTGCATGAACGAGTTGGAGATACGGAGGAATTTTTTGAACAAAGATATGAATTTTTCGCAATTTTTTGAGCCTTCAGTGCGAATCATATTCCGGATGCAAACTCACAGTGGGTCGGAGCTGGTGCGAAATTTCGCATACCATCTTGTGAAGCTTGCTTTGCTCTATCGAATACCCTGGAGCCCTATTGAGACTATAAAGTTCACGACTTATCCTCGTAAGAATTTAAAGTGTAACAAGACCTATGTAACTACCTAATAGTAAAGCATGTTTATGTACAGACAAGAGCGAGATAAGAAGTCGAACCTCTATGCCCACCTCGAAAACCTGTGCAAGAACAGAACGTTACAGCATCCACTAATTTTCAAATTTAGTCAGTTCTATGTTCCAGTATCAAAAAACGAGCATCATTTAGAAAACGTCTCCTTCTGTGAAGATAAAAAAACTAAGGAAGAGGTAAGCTCGTGAAGAGTACTGTACAAGCAAAGCTGTAGGGGCTGATTGAAAAGGGCTTATGAGCTTTTATATTCAACGATCATTCAAATAGACGCGCTTATTCTGTGATAGAGACTTTCCAATAGATACTTTCTCATATACTCACCTCTTTCCAATAAATAAAGAAAACTTTCCGGAATCAAATCTTTACGGAGCTATTGAGGCTAGTAGGAACCTACCGGTACTTTTCCGATATCCGGACTCATTTAAAAAAAAGGATACTGCTTTCTTCCTGGTATCATATTTTTACTGAACTTCGCAGGAAGCAAAAACATTTGACACGTTATCTACATGTCTAACATGTTTTACCAAGAGCTTTGTATTTGTGATAAATCAGTGGACGAGCGATAAAGTAAAACTATAATCAACTAACCGCGACTACGAATACCAAAGCGTCTGCCAGGTGGGGCTTGTTAAGCATTACCTCAGACTTCGGTAACTAAACCCTTCACCTCACTTGAACTATATACATAATTAACGAAAATTGCCTAAAGGAATGGCAACGTTGCTAATAAATTAAAACTACAGACTGATAACGATAGGTCAAACCAAATCGTTATCTTGATATATTGTGAAATTTTGATTACTTGTCAGCAGTGTGAAGACTAGAAATGTTACACTAATCACAAAGCCATCTACAGCCTAAATGGGTAGAGGAACAAACACCTCAATTGGGCACAGCCTCAGCGGCCTGCTGTCCATTCGTCCTACCGCTGTGCATCGTGTTAGCACCAGTAGTCCGCGGAAGCGGTGTCTAATTAAGGGTTCCTCCACCCTAACCTAGACGACGTCTCTCTCTCTCTCTCTCTCTCTCTCTCTCTCTCTCGCCAAGTGGTTTTCTCCTTTGAAACGTATTTCAAAACCGTCTAGCTCGTCATTTGAATCCCTCGCTTGCGCACTTATTCTGTGCTGAAGTAAAGTTGCCAGGATAGGGACAATGTAGGCAAACCGCAGCATTACTGCTTGTTTAAACTTGTCGTTGGCGACAGTGTCGCCTGTCTAGTTATCAAAGAAACCAACTTGTTTCCTAATTAATTATGACCCCAACAATTCATTTTGAAAATAAAGAATAACATGTCTCTAATTTCAATGGACGTATTAACTTTGTTTAGAATAGAGAAGTGCGATAAGATTCCATCCTCAGCGGCAAAACAAGTGGCAGCAAAGTGCTTCAAGCCAGCATTTCGATTCTCTTCTGATTATATAATACTATGGAAAAACAGTTTGAATAGGGCATTTTTCACTTACTGCCGGATGCGATCAAGATGATCTGACAAACGTTTTGGACTGTTTTGTTCTCATAAGAAATCAGCTGAGATATGAATTATGGGCTCTTAGGCCCGTATGCACCAACATCCCTGTGGCGAGGGAAGGGGCGTCCCGAATGATGAAAAAACCGCGGCGGCGTCCGCAGGCGGTCCCTTCATAACGGGAGATGTCTCCCTCGCCGCAGGGAAGTTAGTGCATACGGGCCTTTTTTCTTCCCATCGGGAACATTTTGAAGAAAATCTGTCAGACTAAACCTAAATCTGTTGAATTCTTTCTTGATCCCTGGCAGCTATGAAGCTCGCATTTTTTACAATAATATTTTCAAAGTAAACATTTTTTGAGTAAAGTCGTTGAAAATTGATTCTGGACAGCCAGAAAGTATCAGCTCATCATCCGTATTTTCGAGGATACCCAAAACCATTATATTCAAAATAGAGGACTACAGATCAACAAAGCCAGTTAACAAAAAAAAAGAGTAAAGAACTCTGGAAAGCTAAAACGAAAGGCGAATCGATGGCAGCCCGAGCGTGCGCTGCGGATCCGTTGCGGAGGCACTCATGGGAATTTGGCCGGACACAAACACTATAACTTCGGCAACTGAAGGCTGAGTTCGGTTGCAAAAATGTATCAGCGACTTATTTCAGCGCATTTTAAGATAGGAATCGTTTCTCCGAATATCCTCACCAGTTCAAACAATGAAAACAGAGGAACTACTTCCATGATTTAGCATGGTCCCGACAGCATGGAAACATAAAATTGGGTCCCAATCAAACAAATTCTTCGATCACAGCAATGCAATGATATAACATCTAATTTTTTTCTGTATACGCATAAGGGATGCCGAATTATTATATACATGAGTTATATGAAATGTTAGGTGATAGAAAGCGGTAGCAGACCTTCTCTTCGAATCAGCCGAAATCGCACCAGGTAAAGCGGATCGATCCTTTGCTCACATAATATTTCATACTATTTTTCTTCGCTCTACCCCACCCCTCCTCACGTGAACACTCCCAGCTGAGTATACCCCTTCTAAAATTTTAATGGTGCAGCAATCTTGCTCCGATCGTAAAGCATGTGCCCCTTAATCATCCCAAGCGCTGATGTTAGGCAAATCCGCAGAACAAAATGTTCGATAATCATTTCCGCGATCAGCGCTCGATTTTCTCCTCCGCGGCAACATCTACGAATTTGATTTTCGTTGTCTTCAGTTCAAAAAATTGCAAGCCAACAGTTTTCCTGTCGATTTAGCATAATATTAGGTCTAACAACTACTTGGGCTTGGCACTCAAATATTCGTGTTCGTCGTAATTCATTTCAGTCACCTGCTGAAATCTTGAAGCAACTTGCTTTGAGTACTTTTTTGTAGGAGATAGACTTGTGACACTAAAAGGTGATCTCATTGTATGATTGTAGACTGCTTATATCTCGAGCTTATCCGCTTCATAATGAGCATGTGCTGGACACAATGTTCGCACAGTTGTCCCCTTACTCGAACTGATCATTAGCATGAGCAGTAGTGACAAGGCTGCTTTCATCATCCATCAACACATGTTGCCGTTCAATGAATACAATGCTGTTACATAAGCTATGGGCTACTGTATAACTACTGTATAACGAAGGCGCAATACCTTTGGGCGCAACGCGGTTTTATTAGCCACAGAGCGCAGGAGGCGCAGGGTTTACAACGATGAAGAAGCGCGCGCCGAATTCGCTCCCGCTCAACTAATAATGCTTCTGCGTCTTCGTCCTGCAGTAGCCTTTGCGTACATTACAATAATATTAGGTCGTTTCATAAGTTCAAAACGTTCTTATTTTTGTCGTCGTTTTCTGGCGAAGAGGTTGGATTACGGCAAAGTATCTGTACTATCCGAAAAAGCCAATTCTGCCCTAAAAAACCTGCGCCTTATTTTCGAAGTAACCTAATGCCCTACGTTTTGGGACTGCTTGAAGCAAAGCTTTTTGTTTAGCAAAAAATGACGTTTTCAACATCTGCATCTTCGGCTCCAGGTACGAAAATCACTAGAGGGAATTTTTCGTTTGAAATTGTTACGTGTGATAAGGAACGACGGTCCGGACTATGTTGCACATAGAAGTAGACTTTTTTCAAGGGAGACGCATGAGAGAACGATAGAGCGCACTTTCAACGTATATGTAGATGTTTTGCGTTTGGAGGGAATGAGGAAGTTTTTTAAACCAAAATTTTTTTTGGGAAAGCGTAAAATCCCTGGTCAGCGCTTGCATTCAAACTGATCCACTTAAACCAAAGCAGCAGGTCGGGAACTTTATGTTGCAACGCGTAAAACTCAAGCTGCAGCAGTCGAAGACAGCAACTTTTGAGACATCAATTAAACAGTTCTTAGCATATTGGCTGGACACCATTGTGTCAGCACATCAGCCTTGCTTGCTACTAGCTACACCGACTATACTGCAGTGATATGTGGGGGTATGGAAGGAACCGAATAATGCAGGTGTCGAAATCGCCATATTCTGCCACTCAAAAGACTTTGCTTTGAGAAGTTATAAACCAAAAATCATTGGGAATGCTTCGAAAATAAAAAACAGGTTTTGTAGAGCAAATTTGGCTCTCACAAATGATATAGATTCTTTTCCGTAAACCAATTGCTTTACCAGGAAATGACGACAAAAGTAAAAACGCTACGAACTTATGGAACGACCTAATACATTGAATACATCTATTACGATAGTTTTGGGCAACTGTAGAAATTACGGTCTTAGTCCCTATGTAAGACTCATTAAATCATCACTTGATAAGATATTAGGCTGATTCATGATTATTGGAAGTTTTCTAAAATATAATTACATTGAGAAACTCCTTCAAAGCACACTTTCTGATTGCATCAATTTCTGTAGAGAGCAAACCCTTGGCTACACAACCTATGTATGAACTAGTAGATCCGTGCGAAAGTTCTTTCCAACTTTTGAACCTATCTTCAAATCTTGGAGTAAAGTTAAACAGATATCTTAGGAGTCCGCTGCGAGATTTCTTCATCTTTCTAACTGTTATGTTCGCCACGCTAATGTTCCGACGAGTGCAGAGATAATCATAAAAGCTTACAGCTCTCCAATTTTGCCATGTTTGACTTACCCTAATTCTTAGAACTTGCATTTGAGATTTTTGGGGAGCTTTGACAGCTAGCTCATAGAGGCGCATACCTCTTGCAAACTAATGTTTTTGGATTTCACCAACTTGTTTCTAGAATTTTGCTGAATGAATTTTGCTTGAATTTTCAATGAATTTCTCCAGAAATTCGTAGATTTTGAGGAAAGCGCTAACATGGAATTGAAGGAAACACTCCAAAATATTCAGAAATTATCAATCATGACTTTCACCAACTTTACAACCCGCGAATAAGTGCAGGTTCCTTAAGCGTTCGCTGCAGTGTGGATTGAAAATGTGGAAAACAAAACTACATTTGAAAAATTCGTATACTGAAAGTTTGGAAGAAAATTCCCAAAATTTTTAGATGCCCAAAAGTCGAATTTCTGCCCACAAAAATCCTAGAGACTTCCAATTTGCTATTTCTAATAATATTTGAATAGAATAAGCAAAATGCAATGTTGCAACATTTCAGCACTTTTAGCTTGCTTTCCAAAATTTGTAGAGTTATTTTTTTTTGGAACCCGATTCTACATCTGAGCATCAAAGGTCTCATAGACATCAAACGGCGAGCAAACTAGGGTGCCATTTCATGCAGCTCTTTCCTTTTTTTGATAGGCTTTTCAATTCTGTTTCGTTAAAGCTTCGAGGACAAAACTATTATAATTCTCGTTTTTGAGCGAGTCCGAGGCCATACTCGAAAAGAGGAAAATTCAACCTTTCGAAGCGGTGACCACTCCTTTGCATTGTGAAATTAGTGTGGTTTAGCCACAACCCACGCCTGGAAGTTTCGAATTCGAAAAACATTCATTTCAAAGAATAATGAAAAACCGAATTACAGGCTCCAAAACTCCCTTATGCCGCATTTTGCTTACTTTATCCTAAAATTATCAGAGTTTTCCAAAAGTTGTGATGAAAATTCTGAAATTAGCCAAACCTAGGGTATGTGAAAATTACAATTGAAGCCGACGATCATTCGAGCAATCATCAATAAACTCGAAACAAAAACAACCACTGCTAGGAAAATTCTGCATCAAATCCTGTTAAGGGCGTTTGTCTATCATTAGTCTGACTCGGCACAAACGACCTATTATAAATAAGAACTGACTGTCAAAGGCATGAACGAAGTTGAAATTAGATTAAATAAGAAGTATGAATTTCCCTGAAGTGATCAATTTCTATTTGATTCTGTAAACTGGTGATGCGAACTTAGTCAGACTTGTAGGGACACTACACACCACTACCACCAAAGGGTTGTTTCATACTGCCGCACTGACTGCAGCTCTGCACTGACCGCAGCAGACTGCACAGACCGCACTGACCGCAGCTGACTGCAGCAGACTGCAGCAGACTGCAGCGGACTGCAGCTGACAGCACTGATCGAGTGGCCGCACCGGTCGCTGCATTCTTTCGTAGAAGAGAAAGCAACTGTGATTACGTCAAAACGCCTTGACTTACGCCTTGAAGATCATAAGTTCTAATTCACTCTTCTCAATCGAACTTTGGCAATTGTTTTTCTTCATTATGTTCGCATTTGTTCTGATTCCTCCTATTATTGCATATGACTGTTTTGTAATGCTGGAAACCATTATCCATTGGAATCCGGCGCTGATCTTAGCTATAGTACATAGCCAACGCGACCGAAAAAGGCAACCAGAATGCCTCGTATTTTTCCTTTGGCTATTAATTTGTTTCATACCTTGCGACTAATAGCGTTGAGTACTTTAGTTGTGACTATTGCTAAAATTTATTCATTTTCGGTACTTCCACTAAATATCTAGGTCTGCATCAGGGTCAGGCTTGTGATGCGACTGTCGCAACGGAGGGTCGTAAAGAGGATATCTAAGGTGGGAGGGGGGGGTCGTAAGAGAAGGTAGTTGGGCTAAAATACCCTAAGCTTAAAAGGGAATCAAAAAGCAGATAATTAGTTATGTTCTTTACAATAAATCTATAAAAAATTGGAAATCAGAATAAAAAAGGTAAAAAATCTATAGAAATTATAAAAAAAAACACTTACAAGAGCTCAAAACACTTTTGAAGGATGTATGATTTTATAAAAATGCTAAATGTACCGATTGCCCTAGGAATCTTGCTTCTGAAGCCCTCCTGAATTTTCACACACTCGACAAAAGCGAATATCTTCACCAGCTGTGACCATCATGGATTTCTAAATCCTTTTGTAATGTTTTTCACTTTCCCATATGATTTATCTGTACTTTGAAGATGCTCCGCTACATCATTGCAAAATTTGGTGTTATTTTGTCAACTGTGGATTTTCTTATAATTTTATGATGGTAGCAAAAATTCAGCAAAGGGGGGTTGTATCTGGGTCGCATCTAAATTTCTTCGGAGCTATTGAAGCTTGCTGGCTGCAATTCCGCTGTAATATGAGGCCAATCTACTATTTTCCCTCATAAAAATTGCAGGCTGTTTTATAACTTCTCTGATAAGTTACAAAATTTTGAGCTCAAAAATCCCAGTTTTTGCTTTTTAGGATCGCAGCTAAGTTTGCGAGAGTCGCATCTAAATTTTTTTGAGCTTACTGTTCCTCAAGAGCTGAAACTTTTTCTATGGATAGTCTGGTCACTATAATACAAAACCTGTGCTTTGCAGCCTCTCATTCTTTTCCTGGCCTTAGTTACAAATTTTCAAACTACCGTGCTCATGCACGTTTTTGACGTCGTTCTAGACGGCGCTCAAGCGGTTTTTTTTTCGCGGGAAAAACTGTGGATAAGGTAGGAATTAACCTTCTTCTTCGCACGGATGGGTACCTTTAAGGGGGGGGGTCGTAAATGAGGGTCCCGGATCGCGTCCACGCTTGACCCTGGTCTGCATGTTTGTTTAATGACACTTATGTTTCTCTTGAATTGATATGGAATGTATCAAGATCAAATTTACTAACTGATTGCCAAAGATGTTGAAAAGGAGTTTTCTTCAATGTGAATAATGGAGAATTTTCTACTTTGCTTGCCCACTTTGCTCGCAGTCGCTCTTCCTTCCTGCGCGAACATGCTGCGGCCGTGGCGGTCGGTGCGGTCTGCTGCAGTCTGCTGCAGTCAGTTGCAGTCTGCTGCAGTCTGCTGCAGTCAGTGCGGTCAGCTACAGTCAGTGCGGTCAGCTGCAGTCAGCTGCAGTCTGCTGCAGTCATTGCGGCAGTCTGAAACAACCCAAAGACGTCGAATATAAATTCAATTCGCTCCCACAATGCCAACCTCTGATCCGTAGTTGAATATGGCGTAAAAATAATGTTCTTGCAGTAGTAAAGTTATTTCTGCGAAAAAATTTCCATGAGGTACGAACGAAGTGAGTTTGCCATTTATGCCGCCGCTCAGGTATGTTGTACGCTCAGGCCTTCTGTGAGCATACACGGTCAAATCCACTAGCTCACGGTCAAGGCATTACATTTGTCTTTATGCAGACTTGTATGATGCGGATAAGCTTCAAAATTTTCAAAAATACAAAAGTACATCAGTCAATGGGGAAACTTTTGCATCCGCATCTATTTCCTGTTGGTAGCGAAACCGATCTGATTTTTTCATCAGCTCCTTCATCGCAGTCGGTAAGTGGAACAATCTCAAATTGAGTTTCTAAAATGGCGAAGTCACTTTGTTATGGAAATGTACCTGGACACCAGTAGCAATCAATGCACAAGCGGAGCTGTTTTGCACACGGTGCGGGAAGGTGTATGTGCCGCTCTAAACATCTACAGTATTGTGAAGCCGCTTTGTGCAAAGTATTAGGTTGGTCCGAAAGTTCTGTCCCATCATTTTCAAAAAATCGTAACTTCTTCCTAACACAATGTTTTTGCAAGAGTAAAACCATATTAGAAAGAGCAATTCATGTACTTTCTAAAACTGAGTTGGCTGCTATTCATTAAGCTCTGAATGCAGAGATAAAATCAGAGAAAGGAATTCATTTCAATTTCGGAATTTTTAAGCAAACCCGTTAAAAAATTCAAAAGTGTGCTATAAAATCCAAAACAGCCACTATCCGAGACTATTTCATCCCCTCTTTCCAGCTTAGAAATTTTCGCGTTGATCGAGCTGTTCTTCGGAAAGTTATGATTTTTTGAAAAAAATGTCAAAAAATCAATTTTCTTAAGAAACTGATTTTTCGGCATTTTTTCTTGAAAATCATAACTTCTTTCAAAAGAGCTCGATCAGCGCAAATTTTGCTCGGCTGGAAAGAGGGGATCAAAAAACCTACGATACTGGCTGTTTCGGATTTTATGGCACACTTTTGGATTTTTTAACGGGTTTGCTTAAAAATTCCGAAATTGAAATGAATTCCTTTCTCTAATTTTATCTCTGCATTCAGAGCTTAATGAATAGCAGCCAACTCAGATTTAGAAAGTACATGAATTGCTCTTTCTAATACGGTTTTACTCTTGCAAAAACATTGTGTTAGGAAGAAGTTACGATTTTTTGAAGATGAAGGGACAGAACTTTCGGACCAACCTAATAGAATGCCAGAAAAAAATTATAAAAATTTGTGACATGTTTTTACTCGTAAATGAAAGAACCTTCTAAAATTCTCTTAAATTCATGCCCCCGAAATTTCTTGCACTGTTGTAGAACGTCATGGTACTGCCATTTGCCACTGCACATATAAAAATTGCAGATGACGTAATGATTTCCTTACTAATAATGTCTGGTTTCCTCTAGCTTCAACAGAATTCTGTTGTTGTTTTTTTTGTTCACTCCATGGGCTTGAGTTGCAAGGCACATTAAGGCCCGTATGCACGTACATCCCCACGGGGAGGGGAGGGGATCTGAGAGGGAAAGCGTCATATCTCGCTAATCTACATATCTTTCTCCTTCTTACTCTATCTTGCTTATGAAGTTTCTCATACACTGATACCTGCGCATAACGGATGCCAGGTACTGCCATACAAGATTAGATATTCACTATTTCATCTGATCCCCTGGGGATCCCTAGGGGATCACCTCACATTTTCAAATTGATTTATCTTCTTGAAAAACCAATGAAAACGTTGCAAAATTGTATTGAAGATATCTTACGATACTGCTGAGCATGTTTTCAACAGAAGAAATGGAATCTAAAGATTTTGATTTTTTCGATAATCCCTAACTCGCGAGCAGCGGTTCACCGAAGATTTTGAAATCTTGAGATTTCAATTTCTACCATAAACATGTTTAGCAGTGCTGTAGTATACCCTCAGTACAATTTTAGAGCATTTTCATTGAGTTTTCAGGAAGATAAATGAAAATGTGAAGTGATCCCCTGGGAATCCCCAGGGGATCAGACGAAATAATGAATATCTTATTTTGTATGGTAGTAACCTGGCATCCGTTTATGCGCAGATATCAATGTACGAGAACCTTCAAAAGCAAGACAGAGAAAGAAGAAGAAAGATATATAGATTAGCGAGATATGAGCGCTTCCCCTCTCAGATCCCCTCCCCTCCCCGCGGGGAGGTACGTGCATACGGGCCTAAGGTCAACAGTATGGTTCTCCAAACATCAGCGTGTTTCCGCGTGAACAAGTGAACAAAGGAGTCAACTAAGTATATCTTTTCAAAGAACACGCCATGACGCTCCATCAAAATCTACAAGCTCCCCGGTTGCTCACGAATGCATCTTCGAGTCAGGCATTCATACAAATGACTGCATAGTACTGCCCTGGCTGAGCGTGAAAACGGCAAAGCAATCCTAAACTTAACCCAAATAATTAATCATATTATTACTTATACTTGGGAGACGCTCGAAAGTTACTTTTTTGATTGGCCGTCACTAGCTACAAAGAGCAGGAAAAATTCATTTTGCTTTGTTCCTCGTCTAACAACATAATTCTTCGCTACACTTGGTAACATCTGAAAAGCTTGGTGTTCTGGAGTAAGAACTCATGACAATTACCGGATTTCCGACATAAACCATAAAAACTTCTCCATCAGGCAAAAGCTGAGGAGGGTCTAACAAGGGATGTCACGTAACTTAAAATCGCGTTTTGAGATAAGACATATATTTGGAATCAGCCTTGAACGATGATTCCAAATTTCCTACCCATAGCTGTGGCACATTATCTTGAAAAGAGTTATTGATTTTTTATGCGCGGAAGTGCTCATTTGTCTAATGAGAACTTACTAACATTTGAGAGTTAATCACTGTGTTAAGTTCATTGTTAACGACAACGGATTTGATCTGTTCTTATCTTGAGGGCCTCACTTTTTTTGGGCAGATTAATCGCGCATAAAAAAACCAATAACTCGCTTTGGAATGGTGTGCCGCAGCTAGATAAGCATATTTGAAATAAACGTTCGAAGGTGATTCCAAATATATGTGTCTCATCTCAAAACGCGATTTTAAGGTTACGTGACACTCTACGACGTTTTCGAGGCGCACAGCTGTTTACTTTGGCTTACTTCGCATTCGGCCACGCTTTTGGCCATGTAGCGCGTTAGGTGCCGCGAACTTAAAGGCAGCGGCTCGGCAGATTTTGCTTTCCATCATTTGCATGTTTTGGGCCTTCTCGACCCGTAGATCCCGAATCTGAGCTTTAAAAGCGGTGAAAAGGCCTTTTTCGGGGCGTTTTTTTCAATTTCCAAAAGGCAGCTCGGACGAGAATTTTCAGGAAAGTCGGAAGGCCCTGGCACGAAGACCCCGCTGCCTGTAATTTTGGCTTTGTATAGCATGCACAATGCGGGAAAGCGGTTGGGGGGTCCCGCGCGGTCTAGCGGAGAATACTCGTCCGAACAAGGTTTAGGGGAGCGAAAGGAGGAAGGGGAGCGGCGCTTGGGCCGCCCCCTGGCTTGCAGAGTTCACATTTTCGGCGCGGAGTTGCTGTTTTGGTTCACTTGGAGGGCCTCTTATCCATCTGTGTCAAAATCTGAGGTAGGTCAATCTGCCGAGCCGCTGCCTTTAATCGCCGAATATCCATGAACTGTCTCAACGATGGGCACGCCAGCTATCCATGACTATTTTCAACAATAGTGACGGTCTAATCTGTCAGTGATGCTTAGAATATGTTTTGCAAAAAGGATTCGCAAAAAGAAATAATAAGATAGTCGGAAAAATACGTTTGGCATTGCCTTGGACTGGAGTAGAAGACGATGTGAGTTGTTTCTATTTAACTGGAGGTTTCCATAAGCTCTATCAATCAGTTTCGCTGAGGGAAAGCAACATTATGCTTGTCGCGTCTCGCGATGCAAGGCACCCCTTGAAGTACGGAGGCCGGGGGCAGCGCCGTTCGGCGGCGGTTACGGTAGCCAAGATGCGTGTTGCCACGCGTCTCCGGACCTCTCCTTTATTGGCTCGTTCCCAGCCAGGCGGCTATATATAGCGGCGGCGCCTCAGCTGGGTGCCTTGTTTGCCTTTGTCTTTATTGATTGATTTTGAATATCTTGTTCAATTTAGGTTTCAGCCGCTTTACTCCTGTCCTTTTTTGTAAAAGCAGTTGAGTCAGACGTTCCTTAGATTGGGAAACGGATTCTTCTTGTCAGCGCGTTCAGACGCGCCGTAGTACTGATTAGATTTGCATGTTAAGTTGGAACTTCAACATCTACAGGAGCTGGAGGGAACGTGTCGTCGTTTGTAACCTTGGCGTTGCGCGGTGGATTTGCTGCGCGAAACCTCGGGAGCCACATGTATTTTCGAGATTACTTTTAGACGCGCAATGGTAGCATGGGGCGGGCCCTCATCTCGTGTTTCATTTAATAGTAGTAGTAAATTATTTCTAATTTAGTATTTCTTCTTGTCTATTAAGCTGTAGTGGGTCATAAGGATAAATTACTTGATCAATCTCATGTTTATTTCGGTCGCGCGTTAGGTGCGCAGTAGGATAGGTACGTCGCTTAGTATCGGGCAAGCATCAGGCCTTGGGTTACATTTAGGTGCAAAAGCCTACCGATCGCCACAATGCTTGCGTGAGGAGCACTACTGGTTACTATCAAATGGATCGCTTGAGCAAGAAAAGCAAGCTTTTATATAATTTTCGGTATTCAATTAACGACTGATTTTATTTCCTCGTGGTGCTGATTAGACAGTTGTGAGACAAAGACATGTCTTCTTTTTGCCAAAGAAATTGATATCGTCAAATGACCGTTAGGCTGCAATGAGGATATCACTCAGAAAGGAACTGAGAACAACAGGGCTCTGCGTGACTTTGAAAATTGATGTTTGCCGCTACAAGTTTCGGACCATTTGCATAACCGCCGTTTTCAATAGTGAGTTGAGCTAACATCTGATAGCAGAAGAACGTTAGAAAGAAAAAGAAAACTGAAAGCATGCGCGAGCGCTCGACCTCAAACTCACCGACCTTAACGGTCACGCAGAGCCGTATACGAAACGTCCACGAAAACAGCTCATATATCTGATGTAATGAAGAGTGAGACAACTAAACGTGTGAAACACAACATTAAATTAACAAAATCTAGAAATAACGGGTGACCGGGTGACATTCTTATTGGTCGAAATTCCCCGGATCATGAGCATTCATTAAGTATCTCAATAAATAAAGTCTTTGTAGCCTTCGGTTTGCAGTTTGGGCGTAAATCATAAGCAAGACTTTAAAAAGGTAAAGGGTTGAAGTGTACAACAGTGGAAAAGAAGAAAATGTAACCACAAGGGAAAGAGGATGAGGTAATAAACGCAGGCCGAAACAGAATAAGAAACTCCATATTTGGGGCGCCTAACGCGCTACAAGGCCAAAAGCGTGACCGAATGCGAAGTGAGCCAAAGTAAATAGCTGTGCGTCTAGAATACGTCACACTCTACGAAGTAGAGGGCGTATGGCGCATGCTCGCAAAGGGTATTGAGGAAAGAATCCTTTATTTCTTATCCTTTGATGAGGGCAATTATGCGGGAGCAAGTGGAATCTCGCGGAATGGAACGAAAAAATAATTGGATCATACATCAATTGCATATTCGGAAACCATCAAGTTAGGTTCGACTTGCGAAATTGAGTTACTAATGGCCTTAAAAGGCCAAGGTAGATATTGTTCAAAATGGACAGAATCCTAGAAAAACCTGATTTGAAACTCTTAAAAACTGAAATACATGTCATTATTGCTATTGTAAAGGCTAAGATACTAACCTCGGACGTTTTACAGTAACCCCTACATAGTGGAATTTCAACAACTCCGCGGCATTTCTTGCCTTGTTGATCGGTGAGCACCAACGGATTCATCCCAGGAATTTTCTGCAGAAAGTATTCACATTTGCTTTTGGATGTCACTTCAGAAGGAGCTGCCTGCAACTGACGTTACATTAGTTCGAAAAGAATTATTGTGGCGTGAAAAATGCTAGTGATTTACATTTGCATCTGTATTTGAATTTTGAACTTATTATAACGGTTGCTTCTGTTAGATAACAGTTTAAGTATATGATCAAGATTGAACAAGAGGTGTAGCACATCAACGCCGAACACGACCCCTCCCCGCTAGTTTCTCAACGGACCCTCAACGTTAGCGTATGCATACCGTAAGTGCAGTGGCGTACCCAGGATTTCGGCTCGGGGGGGGCGCGACGAAAATTTTTTTCTAAAGAAGGTGCGTGGCGTTAGCCACGCACTCCGAAAAATTTTTGGGGGTGCTTCCCAAAGTTTTTTCGGGTCCCCGACCCCTAAAATCTGGAAAAAGGGGGCGTGGCGTCAGCCACGCCCCCGAAAAATTTTTTTTTACAAGGCTAATTTGTATTTTTAAAAATTTTTAAAAATTATTTTAATTATTTACAAAAATGAACAAGTCACTTACACATTTTTATAACCCATATAAGTAACTTTCAAAAATTTCGCGACCCATTCTCGGGGGGGGGGGCGCGCGCCCCCCCCCCGCCCCCCCCCCCTCGGTACGCCACTGCGTAAGTGTGATATGAGAATCTACTAACTTGAGCATAATGAGTAATATAATCGTAACTAGCATGTCGATAATAGTGTAGACCAAGTTTTAGGGAGTTTTGAGTTTTTGGGCAATGGGCCACTCAATTGAATAATCATTCTCAAACATTATTAACTTTGTGCTCCAAAATGGAATTGGCTATCTTTTTTTGCAATACAAAGCAAGACAACTCCGTTTTGCCCCTATGAAGAATCCGCTCACCGTCAAATTATGATATACGATCCAGCCAAAAACCAATCCCATTTTTCGCTTACAAAGACTGTGCCTTAGCAACTATCATCAGAAAGAAGATGAATTAAGCCCAGTTTACTTTTGTGACAAAAGCATGGGCTCTGGGGCTAAAAATGCATTGCATATTCTTGCAAAATTGTGCATTAACTTTGCTTTGAAGGTCAAACATTTATTAGGCTGGAAACTAAGTTTTGCAACTGGTTTCATAACTTCACTCTCTTTGGATATGGTGCACTCAAACTTTGGCATTATGTAGAAGGCAATGTGAGCTACAAGTGTACAATTGTCCAAATTTTGAACACGAAATAGAAAAGTTTAAGGCGATTTTCGAAAACTAGTGAAATCTGAGAATTTTTGGGGTTTCAAGCTAAAATGAAGCCTTTTGCAGCTTAGACTATGCGCAGTAATCCGGACTCGTCTACAAATTATTGCTGGAGGCTGACTTCTTTGGCCTAGTAACAAAGAAACAAAATTTAGGAGCGTGTCGAGATTTGGCGTCTTCATAAACTCGAACGAATCGATGTACGCAAGAGCTGCTGGGGACGACCGTCAATGAATAAAGAGTCCGAAGCTCAAATTCCGCCGAGACTTTACATAGTAAGGTTATTTGGCCTGATAAACACGAATATCATATTCATTTGTTGAATCAACGCCTCTTTCCTTGTTTAGGGTAAGACCCCATATCGTACATCTACAGTAATCCCGCAAAAACCCTTATCACGCAATTTCACTATCGTTTTCGTAATCAGCATGTCGGATAACACCCCTACGCCAAGTTTCAGCCAAATCCGTCAAACTTTGAATTTTTCCCCTTTATACCATGCACCTACCGTAACCCTCACTGCGACGTCAGAATTTGGTAGGACAGCAGCTGCTCTTCTAGCTCCAACGCATTGGCAAAATTTGAGTGCGCTATGTTGAGTGAGAGGGAAGTTATGAGACCAGTTGCAAAACTTAGTTTTCAACCTAATATTTTTCTTATACCGTTGAATCTGGTAAAACCTTCTTTCCTTTACACTAGGGGTGTCATCTGAAATCGCTACCCTTAGAAAAAGTGTAGTCCATAGTAATCTCTGTTTAGTGCAACTCGACAGAGCTTTTCGGGCATTAGAACTTAATTTCTGCGGTTCGAAAACTCGTCTACCTGGAGGCGAGGTTGGGGCTCGCTCACTAAGATCAGCGACTACGCAATGTTGAGTCCAGCGTTTTTACCGTGTTCATTGCGAAGGCTAAGCAAATCCTAGGACCTTCATCCAAGTCAAACAAATGCTTGATTCGGTGAAAAAGCAGTTTTTTTAAACATTATAACTTTTTATAGAATTTGAAGCAAAAAATGCAGGATGAATCTTTTTTCAAAAAAGGAGTGCTTCCAAGTGTAACAAATGTTTCATATTTTGATGTTGAATATGTACAGAAAATTACAGATTCAAAAACGTAGTGCTGATTGAAAATGAGAGGTGGCTTTATAGCTGTGACCAGCCTTCGGAACCGTTTTTCAAATTTTCAATTTTTCTCCAGCCAAAATCTTTGAAATTGTGAGCTGTTCTGGTCAATGATATGACGTTGGTTTATGCAGGTAATAGTCGTTTTTCAGACAATTTCGAACAAAAGAGAACAAATTACAGTGATTTTTAGGGTGGCTTTATAGCCATGGACAGCACTGTAAGTATGTCTTAAACAAAATGGCTTATTAAAACACGCTCCATACCATACATTATGTCTGCCAAACTTGGCTCAGATTCGATGACTCCTTTTCTTTCCGGGCAAACGCTAAAAAAGTTTTAAGCAAAAACTGCAAAAAATCAATAGAGGCCATCCGTGTGCCTGAAAAAAAAAGAGTTATTAACACAGGCCCCACCACAAATGTATGCCAAATTTGGATTAGATTCCATTACTCCTTCTGTCCTTCTCAGGCAAACATAAAAAGTCTTTAGACAAAACTGCAAGAAGTCAATAAATCGATATGGGCAAGCCATGTGTCTTGAACAAAATGGTTTATTAACACACGCCCCACCCTACACATTATGTATGCCAAATTTGGTTCAGATGCCATCACTCCTTCTATTCTTTTAAGGCGAAAATACGAAAAGTGGCTAAGTCAAATTTTATATAAGTACATATATGAAATTGAATGTTGGTAAATTGTTAGTCAGTGTGCTTTGTATAGAAACTTTTGTGTGTGAACCGATCACCGCCAAACTTTGCACACCTATGTTTTCGACACAGGTCCACCCCGAAAGCTACTTTTCGCAGCGAAATTCCCACTCCTTTCAACGAATTATCGATTTTGAAAAAAAAATGAACTCTTATCATTCATTATCAAACCGCTTCCAATTTATGTGTAAACATTAGCGGTAGAACTCACTTTCATTACTTGATAAAGGAGATGTGATAATTCAAGGCCGTGCGATCAGGAAGTATTTGCCCTACACTACAAGATTGATAAAAGAAGGCCGAAACGCAGATACGTTGAAGCCTAAAAATTGCGCACCAGTACTGCTCTTCGTTGGGCCAGATAAACCCAAAACGCGGGCGAAGCCAGGAACCAGCTAGTTTTCCATATTCAAAGTGTTATGAAAGAAAGCGGCATCATCAGACATAAACAGCATTTTTTTAAATCATTAAGTCGTTCCGAAAGTAATGTCGTTTTTTTCAAATGAACGCCCCACTTCATGGAATCAAGATTTTCAGGAGATCTTAGAGACATTTGATGCAGCACTTTATCTTCTTTCTAATGGTTATAAATCGCTGCATAATATTCAATGAGCTCTCGAAAAAGTACCAAGATTTGCGACTCATGTGCTCTTTGATATGATCAAGTTCGACTGTTTTTCTAAATTTTTGTACCTATTCTCCGAAGAAGTACAAGTGACAGGTAGATAGAGCAAACCCTATAGGACACAAAACATTTTTGTTTCTTTTCCTTAGCTTGCTTCTTAGAGTTTCTGGAACCAATTTTTCAATGCTATCAAATTCCGTATTTGGTCATCTCAAACCTCACAGAACAACAATCGGCAAGCAACTCGGGTGTCATTCGACGCAGCTTTTTCTCCTCTTTCTACAAGTTGTTTTTTGTTTTTGATTCATCAAGTTTTTCGGGATAATCATCAAAATTCAGGTTTTCCAAGGCGCCTCAGGCTGTACCCGAAATTTTCGAAAGTTATCAATTTGAAGCGGTAAATGCTCATTTCGTTTGTAAAATTATTGTCAAACCATAATCCATCTCTGTAAGTTTCAAAATTCAAAGATTTATTAATCTTTGATGCATTCGTGTCTGAGACGAGCCTGCTAAAATTTGGTGGTTCCATCAAAAAATCTATAAAAAAAATTATGACGACCTGTGGAAAGTAGAAAAAAGTTATGCTGTTTCCTGTAGGGTTTGCTCTATCCATCCATTACTTGGACTCCTTCCGTAGGTTGTTATGAAGATCTAGAAAAATTGTGAAACTTGGCCTTTTCAAAAAGCATGGGTCGCAGATTTCAATAATTCTTCGAGAATGCTGCATCGAATGCTACCAGAATCTCTTACACAACTTTGCTCCACGAGATGTAGCGTACGTTTGAAAAAAGCGACATTGCTTTCGGAACAACCTAATATTTGCCGCAGTCAGCTGTTCATTGATCTTCTCCCGTTGAGGCCCCGAAAAAGTGCAACTTTGGAAGTTTTGCATCGTAACAGTAAGTCGACTGAATTGTCCCGTAAGTTACTCACGAGCAACTTACGGAAATTTGTCTGATTCTCCCCTTTTGCACACTATTCCCTCGGTTCACTCTGGGACCCACCCTCGGCTAAGTGGCATTCTGTTAAACTAATCATGACACTTCACCGGACGGTCCTCTGACTGTTCAACTGACTAATTTTTCACGAATGATTTGAGCCGAATTCGTATTCTATATCATGGTCGTTGAAAGCACGACTTGAAGGCGAAAGAGAGTTAAAGAGATCGATAGCTTGTAATTACATAGGTTGGAAGCAGTGGCGCTAGCAGGACTTCTTCCGAGGAGGAAGGGCAAATTTTTTTTCAAAATAAAGTGAGATGAAATGAATGAAATGGCTAACGCCACGCACTCCAAAAATTCTTCGGAATGCCTCTGAGAATTTTTGCGGTCCATAACCCCAAAA